AGTCCAGCATCTTCAATATTTTCTATTAAGACCAAAACACACCTAAAATTGTAATAGCTGGGTGTTAGGTTAGCGCGAATTCATAAACGAGTGAATAGGATCACGTTGAATGTTCGCATGTTTTACCATTTTCTATCAAAAAACCAGCCAAACTGCTAATGTTTTAAAAGTAGCTTGTGAAACTGAGTAGAAGTTAATCCACTTTGGCTCGTTTTCATGTAGAAAATTACAAAACACGATAACGTTCACCGTGACCCTATTCACTCATTTATGAATTGGCGCCAACCAAACCTTCACTACATTGTAGTACAAAGTCTAAGCTTTATAAAGAGAAACTGATATGGTTTCGCGGTTAGCCACTTTCTGCCCTACACAGCAAAAAATTAATTTTAATAGTGGCGTTTCCTTAACCTCAATCTACCTGTGCACCAACTCTCAAAACATAAACAATCATCAAAATATTGCTTGCAATGGATAGATATCGAGTAAACTAGAAGATTAAGTGTATTTTTCAACCGATTCGAGTATGAATATGGCATTAAATCTGGTTTTGAAAGATGGAGCACAGGTAAAAAGTGAGGTTACGGGACGCCACTGATGACATCCAAGACAATGCACTTCAATCATGTCGAAAATCTCATGTAATTTTGATGGTCACAAAAATAAACAAAAGCAGTAAAGGCAGCGTAATGTCAGTTCATTCACTGTATTAATGATAATTTTGTCCTTTTCGGCAAGTAATATTAAACCACATTTTCGACACGGTTGAAGTGCATCCACTTTGATGTAATATTAAAATTATTTTTTTGCTTTTATTTTAAGTAAAATAAAGATAAAAAAGTGCTATAACTTTGCAAGAAATGCACAAAGCCACATACAGTCTTCAGCTAAAAATATGTAGTTTTACTTTTTTCACGTTTGGCTAGAACATTATTTGCTTGAAAAATTCTTATGAAAAAAAAAAATAATTTTAATGGGGTAACCATAGAAAACGGACGATATCTCCCAAATTATTAAATCTAAAAAAAAATGTGTTTTCCACAAAATCTCATGTGGAGCTTGTTGAGTTTCATATTTTTTTCTATCGATTTAGAGGACAAAGTAAGGATTTTAATTTTATTCATAGTAGGCCATGAGACATTTTGGAAATTGAAAAATTGTGGGCAATTGTAATGAAAACATTTTCTCTCAAGACACTTTTTAGATTAAGTCAATAGTTTATACACAATTCAACTAAGTTCGTTTCCAAGCAACATTGCAAGTTTTATCGCGGTTTTATAGCATTCTACAAGTTTAAATCATGCTCGAAGGTACAAAAGGTCCAATGAACAAAATATCAAGTGGAGAAAAGGTCAAATGACTCACGAAGAGCTACTGATTCCGATCATTACCGGTGCTGCTTCTTCCACCTTCTATGGATGCTCATGTGGGCTGCAGCTTGCTGCTTGCAGGCAGCCTTTCGTTGTGTACTGAAGAACAATATTCAACGCCACGCGCCGAAAGCACACCACCACACAGGTAATTGGAACTGAATCCGATCAGCGGTTCAGGGCAGCCTTGATAGTTAGCTGCTTACGGGGAGCCTTTCGTTGTATACTGGAGAACACCACCACTCACCACGCGGTGATTGAATAAACACCGTTTGGTGAGACCGGATGGAATTCAACTTTGAAATCTGTGTAAGGGAATTCGCTTTTCGCAGGCAAAATATATATATAATATAATTTTAATTTGATCCCTGATGAATTTGGGCGTCTTAGTGGAATACCTGTATAATGAGAGAGAGAAGGATTAGTATTTTCCATTTAATTCCACTACTTTATTTGCTTATCCTTGACAGATACGCGTATTTCGTCTACATTGTGCAGACTTCTTCAGTGTCTTGTACTAATACTCGACTATCGAGTATTAGTACAAGACACTGAAGAAGTCTGCACAATGTAGACGAAATACGCGTATCTGTCAAGGATAAGCAAATAAAGTAGTGGAATTAAATGGAAAATACTAATCCTTCTCTCTCTCATTATTTAATTTGATGATAATTTTAATTATCATAGCAACAGTTGTAGTGCCTTTTTGAAAAATGATTAAGTCAACGTAACAATGACAATAGATGCGTAGACATATTTCTGATCGATTGGTGATAAAATTATAGAAATTGGTCCAGGAACAGCTGAGTTATCAACGTTCAAAATGTTACATAATTTTGTTACATGTCCCATTTTCGGTTTTCACACCCATAAAGAAATCACAGACGTAGTCCTACGTAAAAAGAATACGCTATAATGAGGAAGGGTGATCTGACTCTTGGTTCCTTTGAAAAAATACTCGAGAATTGTGGAAATAGATGACGTTTCTCACATAGGTATATTTTTACTCGGGCATCATCCGAAAATGGTTTTACACACAGAGCGCTTTATCGTTGATTTTATTATGCCCGTTACACTGGGTGGAACATCTTTTATTCGTCGTTGTTGCCACCGCCTGGAATTTTACAGTATCGGCTTGACTTGGAGGAAGTAAAAACCGCGGCTTGGAGGAAGTACAGACGTGGGTTAAAGCGATTAACGGTAGTTAGTAAATTAAAACCATACATTTTGGACCCACGAATCAATCGAAATGACTACGGAGTTTGCTTTTCAATGGCTTTGAACATCCTATCCGATCGTTTATTTGGAAGATCTCCACTAATTCAAGCGTATCTATTCAAATCGACGTATCTGATTTTGTAAACAATCACTTCAATCGACGATTTGTGGCAACTGCTAGCTCACTCATAGAAACTAGCAACACCAGCTAGATTCCAGGAAAGATTCCCCTATCTGATGATGGTGGTTGTTTGCGTAGGTGAGTTAGCAGTTAAGAAAAATTGTCGATTGAAGTGATTGTTTACAAAAACAGATACGTCGATTTGAATAGTTACGCTTGAATTGTTAGTTTAAACCAGAGATGCTTCCACTCACTTACTTCGCTAGATGCTATAATGATATTCTGTACATGTGAGCTACAAGAAGAAGTTGAAAGTACATTAATCAACACACTCAAAACTCTTCATAAAGGGATGCCGTTAAGAGGTTCGACAAAATTAAAAGATTTTGCATAAAACACGCCAATTTTGATTTCAGAGACTCACAATCAGTGATTTTATTACTTCTGAGCGTTCACTCAGAGTGAGTTCTCGCCTCATTTACCATAAAAGCGTTTTCAATATTTTTAATACGGTGCTAATTGTCGTCAGTGTTACAAAAAGTATCGCACACTGCTGTCAATATTGTGTTTACCGGACTTGAAATGGAGCTGAACAAGAGCTGAAAAGACTGCTCATTAGACTGATGCAAAATTTGAAGTTTTCGCTCCACAGTGCTCAAACGGTTCCAAATTGGGCCCTGATTAGCCTCGCAAAATTTGAACTCATTTAATGAGAAACTAACTTGGCACAAACCATTTGGGAATTACAATGGAGAAACCATAATCTCTGTTCATATCTATCTCAAAATTCACCAATTCACAAAATGATAGCTGAGCTTGTTGAAAATTTTCACCGCTCCACCTTTCTTTCAAGACCAGTTTTCGATCAAATGTAAGGAACACAAGTTATTAATGATTTAAGTCACTGATGTCTTATGATTATGCTCAATCAACTGTTCAGCAGGCAACATTGGTGTTTATGGCGCGTAGAATAGAGGACAAAAATCATGGCTACTATGTCGCACTGCAGAATACAGTGTTGCCCACAATACAGTAGCTTAATCTTGCCATAAGATTATCAATCTCTTAAACAATTAAGAACTATTCAATTTGACGTTTGGCTGAAAAACGATTTTCTGAAAAGTTGTAGCTGATAAAAATTCCCATAAGAATAGCAATAGAACTTGTTAACAGTACAATATGTGAAAAGGCTAGACGACAATGTACAAAAAGTTTTGTTTTCCCTTAGTAATTTCCATATAAACTTCAAATGGTTTGTGCCAAGTCAGTTTCTTATCAAATGAGTTTAAACTTTTGGAGGCTAATCAGGACCCGATTTGAAACCATTTGAACACTGTGGAGCGAAAATTTCAAATTTTGCATCAGGCTACTACTCATATCGTATATAGACTCTACTGCGGAAGCTTTACGGAACCCTAATGTTACAATTTGTTAGTGTTTTTTTTCCATCTGCTATTTATTATCACGACAACACGATTTATCAAATCAATTCCATTTGAATAGCTTCATGTCACAAAGCTTGAACGATCGTCATCCGTTGTCATCCGTGTGATGTAAAGAGCTCGGTGGCCCAGTAGCGACAGATTTAGCATACTGAGCTCAAATATATAAGATTTACGAATTAACTATCTACTTTTACAACTGTTCGGGATCTTCCAGCTACTGTCTTCAGGAACGCTTTCCAAAGATACCATGGTTTTATCTATACATACAGTGAACTCTCCACAACTCGATATTCTATTATTCGATGGGTTCTGCGGTCTCTTCAATTTCCCATGTATCGTATTCTCCATAAGTGGATATTTCTACAAGTCGATGCCTCCTTTGGTCGATGATCTATGTAGTGTTATCATGATTCTATAACTCTATAAATAAAAGGTAGGGTTTCAGAATTCTGTGATGTTGATGTTAAAATCAGGAACTTTAAAAATATAATAACTGGTGGCCATATTGAGTATCCAGGACGCATCGACCATTAGGGAAACACGTCTAAATTTATTTAAGTCTGTGCTAGTGACCATTCGGTCTAATGATCTTCAGCCTAATGGCTGGACACCATCATGGTGACATGCCAGAAATGTTACAGATGCTCCCAGAGAAGTGTTCAAAATCAGACTTGACGTGTTCAAATCTCATGAGCTATAAATGATTCAATCATTTTTAACGTAGGATTACGTCTGTGATTTCTATATGGGGGTACTTTTCGTGACAACCGAAAATGGAACATGTAACGAAATTATGAAAGATTTTGAACGTTAATAACTCAGCTGCCCGTGGACCAATATCAATAATTTCATCACCAATCGATAAGAAATATTTTTACACATTAATATCAATGATTCCGACTGTTGGTTTTTACCAATATATCATTGAAAAAGTGGTATATGTCAAGTATTGTCTGCCTACACGTCATCATCATCTTCCAAAGGCTTTAAGCCTGTACTACCATCGACCCTTTTCAGGACCACCCAGATTTTCCAAAACAGTTAAATTTCTAAACATGTCCCAACTAAAATTCATATCAAAAGTTTCTTTTCAGGGGCAATCATAGTCATACTAAATAATATAAACAGAGAGAGCTCCGCTCAAATTCCTACTTTGACCACCATAATTTCTTTAACATAAAATGATTGACCAAAAAATATGAAGAAACTTTCCCGAAGATAGTATACACCTAAAACTGACAGTTTGGGCGCAAACATTTTTGTCTTCCTAAATTCGAATTTGGGACTATTGTGCACTGCCCTCTGTTAACAATTAACGGAACTAAGTGTACGTGTAATTTCCTATAGATGTCACCATAAATACCAGCAGTGATATCTGAAATAAAACTAACGCATGAGCATGATAACATGATTAATTATTAACTCTCGTGGAAGGAGACGCCTGAATTTAAGGTGGGCGCCCCGCTCATATGAACATTCAGCGAGTTATCAGCTCTAAATTTACCGTGTCAACACTTATTCATTCCAAGATATTCAGCTATATCGAATGGTTGACGAAACCAGTGATGCAAAATATCATGACACTCACGTGACACTCGTCTTCGCATCAACCGACTATCGCTGACAGATCGTTTTGTCACGCAGTGAGAGTTAGAGCCATGGCAAACAACAATCACCAGTAATGGTCGCTGCTCACAAGCAAAACGTTACACTCGCTGCTGATGATGAAAAGCACAACGAAAACAATGAAGACTTCTGCAGTACGATCATGAGAAAAAGCGAAACGACAGAAGAAAATGAAAACAATGCCTACGCATTCCAAGTTCGTCTCGGCAGGCGTGACTGTGTGAGTTACAAACAAAGCAGGCAACATTAAACGGAAGCTGTTGGGCTCACTCACCAACACGCTCACATAAGCAAGCAAAGCAGCAACTGCTTCAAAACGAGCACAGATGAGTGTCGTGATTGTCGGGAATGACCAGATCGGTGATGGATCACAACAGAAGACGACATTCACCAGTTGCTTTTTACTTCTTTCGTCAACTTGATGGATGGTCATGGAGAGAGCTTCGACGAGCACATTGATAGGAATGTACAAAGCGTTACTACCATCAGCTGTTTGACGATCGTGATTGTGATAGGTCGCAACTCTGGACGAAACACAGTATCAATCAAATGGGATTAGTTGGAGTGACTCGTTCAAAAAATCTTAAAGCTGAACAAGTAATGTTTGGTACAGATATGACAATTACAGGACTCCTGAACATCTCTTGGCTGCACAGATGTCACCCTAATTAATTACTTAATACCATCTCATCATCCACCGAGCTTTGACACTCTTACACGCCTTTCTGACACTTTCACATTTGTGTACCATTCAGAATTTCTTTAGTTCCTTCAATATGCAGTCAGATAGAGTTATTTATGCTAAGCAGTGTTGCCAGGAATTCTGTTAAAAATTTCCCCATACTCAATGCGGAATAATTTTTACAGCGAAAACGCACAGATTTGCGGTCTTCAGCAAAGTTCTATATGATTTACTCAATCTTCATTGCCAGTTTCGATTATATTGCGCGATGTAAGTTTATTTTATATCGTAATTAACAGTTTGTTAAATTAAAATTCAGGCGCAAATCCAGATCTAGATTTAACTCTTCAAAGTTCAGACAGTTTTTAGAACCTTGTTGGCTCAGGCGTGATACTTATGAACATGCCTCCTAGCAAGTTGTTTCTCAACTAAGCTGAACTCCATCTACTAGACTATATATATCCACTTGAAGATCTGCCGGACACAGCAGTAGGCATCTACCTCAATCTATTCAATTAACGCTATTCTAAGTGAACAAAGCATTCTGAAATTGAGTGTAAAACTATCTAAAATTGCTTAAAATATGTTGCTCTAAAACAAGAATTTGAGACATGCAATAACTACAGTTGAAGATCACCCCAAGCAGACACTAAATTGACTAAATCACTCGAACTCCACTCAATCGACGTTTTTAATTTAAAAGCAATCCACAGTCCATTTTTTTCTTCAATCAACCGGTTCTTGGTTCAAATTTTTGCACAAGGGTCACAATTGCACGCTAGTGCATTTCCTTTCTCTACTGTCACCGAATGTGGCACACTTTCCTTCTTTCGAATTCTGGGAATTCTTTCCGTGCTGGACCACTTTTGGATTCCCTTTAAATATGACCCCGAAAATGAATGCCGCATCAGTTGACTGGAAGTGCAGTCGCACCTTGGAAGACACATTGTCATCCTCAAAATACCTACAGGTAAGTTTGGAAATTCAACAGGCATTTCAATTGCGATTGACCTATATAATTTCAGGATGATCAAGCTTCGATTGCTGATGCCGATTCTGGTGTTGAATTCAATTCAACCTGGCCGCACTAACAGTAGCACCCAGTGCTTGATTTGGTGTAACTTTGGACCAGCCGTTCAAACTCCCGATGGATGCCTCTGTGGAATCAAAATGAACGGGCTGGAACGGGGGCCATTTGACGCCTTCATGGGAATCCCATTCGCAGAGCCTCCAGTTGGGCGGCTAAGGTTTTCTGTAAGAACTCCTAACCCAATATTTAGCAATTGATCTTAATTTGTTTGATCCCCCGCAGAACCCACTTCCATTGGACCCCTGGGAGGGTTACCTCAACGTCAGCGCACCGAAACCAATTTGCATTCAAAAATACGACTTCTATCTGGGTGCAACTGTTCACGGTCAGGAGGATTGCCTGTACTTGAATGTCTACCGGCCAAAGTCCGCAAACGATAAACCATTACCGGTGATGGTATTCATCCACGGAGGAGGCTACATCGGTTTGAGTGCTCGTCCATCGCTCTACGGGCCGGAGAAGTTCATGGACAACCGAAAGGTCATCCTGGTAACCATTCAATATCGACTGGGAGCATTAGGTTTCCTGTCGACCGATGATCGGTCGGCTCCGGGAAACTTTGGGCTCAAAGATCAAGCATTGGCACTCCAATGGGTTCAACGCAGCATCGGCAGCTTTGGCGGTGATCCTCGAAAAGTTACCATTTTTGGACAAGGTGCCGGAGCTTCCTCGGTGCAGTTTCATATGATGAGCCCACTGAGCAAAGGGCTCTTTGCGAAGGCAATCTCCCAAAGTGGGAGTGCATTATCTTACTGGAACGAGGCTTATCCTGATCAGCTAGGATTGGCGCGACGACTAGCGCTTGCCACAGGAGTTGATGAAGCTGAAAATATTAACTCGTGGCAGCTGGTCAATGCACTACGGAAGGTAGATGCCACACGACTCGTCAACAGCGTTGACGAACTTAAGATTTGGCATAACCAACCCATCATACTGTTTCGTCCGGTCGTGGAGAAATACGTAGATAAGGAAACGTTCTTGGATGAGGATCCTAAAGTTCTCTGGTCCAGAGGTCGCTACCAGAAAGTTCCATGGATGACGGGGTACCTCCCGGCTGAGGGAATGGCACTGATGCAGGCAATTTATACGAATTCAACTCTTCTTCAGCAGTTGCTTGCAAATCAGCAACATCTTGTACCTCTATTGACGGGAATTCCACAAACGGTTGTGTCCGATAGATACTTCGGAGGGACACCAATAAGTTCTGCAAATGCAATTGGATTGACCCGGGTGGGTATCGAAATACCTTGAACATTCAGATTGAATGAATTTGTATTTTTTACAGGTCATTACCGAAGTGGGTTTTACTTTTCCCATGATGATGGGTATCCATCAGCACTTGAAGAAAGTCCCACAATCCGAAGCTCCCGTAAGTTTGTACTACTTCAACTTCAAAGGTCGCTACTCTTGCTCAGTAGTAGCGCCGTTGCTAACCAATGCGTACAACAGTGAGGCTTGCCATGCCGAAGAATTGATGTACCTGTTCCGTCAATACCCGGATTTTCCCAGTGATTCACCCGAAGCAGCCATGTCACGACTGCTGGTCAACGAATTTGTCAATTTTGCCTACAAAGGAAGGATGACCGTTCCTGGAAGAAAGTGCAAACATCCAGGACAGCAAATCGAACTGGTCGAGTTTACCAACTCTGATGGTCCCTCTGGAATAAGTGTCGTGCACCGTGAACCAACGGACGAAGCAATGATTGCCCTATGGGAAATTCATTGGTGGAACCAGTTGCTGCGTGAGGGAACTCAAGTTTCAGTTTAATAAAAATGACTTTATTTCGAACAAAGCCACGGTGAAACCTCTGTCGACAACATCCTAGCCGCATTGTGGTCGATGCACGTTCAGCAAACAAGTCACTTTGAGTTACCGCTCATTGTGAACGCCCTTCCATAAACGAGTTTACACGGGACGTTTAGCATTACGTAAGGATGCACAATGCAATCGTTTTTTTAATAACACGTACCTACTCAATCTCATATCCGAGATAAGCTCGCAAACAGTGACTGATTGGGCGGCGGTGGAGTCACCCTTCTTCCTATATTCTATTAATACGGCACATCACAGACCGTGTAGCAAAGCCACAAAGGCCGACGACGATGATGACGATGATGATGATGATGGTGGAAGGCAGCCTCGACTGCGTAGTGGTTTGTGGTTCGGGGTAAGCCAATATCCACACCGAGAACGGCTAGGATGGGAAGCGAAATCGATAGCTTCCTCCAGGCTCTGCGGGCCCGGTTCGGTTCAGGGATGGAAAATTAAAGTCACCCACCGCCGGCTGCCGCCGCCGCCGCCAAACCACTGAGTGTAGGATGACGGTTAAGGCGAAGTCAATTTAAGACCGACTTGTCAGTTCGGATCGGGATTTTGCTCTAGGGAAGCATTCGCCTCTGGCAGTGGAAGGATCTTGGTTGAAGAGATAAACCGCCAGGAGTCATGTTTTTGGGATGCTGGATTAATCTTTTGATTTGTTGGTACTTGCTATGGCATAATAGATAAGATTAGATGGATGTGCAGAATGGATAAAAAGATGGATCAAATCGTTCAAGTCCCAGTAGGGCAACTTGAAATTAGCCAGTGGCTAAATTGAACTACAAAGTTTTCCACTGAACAACATAGGTATATGATCAAGTGTTTGAAACTTACTATTATTGACGCATGATAATCTTCTAGAATAGGATTCTAACAGTAGGATAAGACATTGAGACACTCACCTGAAATTAAAGAAAGAAGAAAGATAATTAGTAATAATGTTAGCAATAGATTTTTAAATTTTAGTTCAAATTCCATGACATAAAAAAATACAAACGGACATTGCTTCAAAGATAATTATTGATAATGAACTCCATAATTGCGGACCTAATAAACAAAAATTGGTGATCGACTAAACTGGTTTTGAAAAATTTCAGGTTAGATTTTTTTTACATAGAATATAATTTTGCTTGCCACACAATTTACAAATTCATGCAGTGGTTGGTGAAGAGAGCTCTAAATTAATAGCTGTGAAAGTACTTCAAAGCACATCATGTTGAGAGTATGCGTAAGCTCGTGTAACAGCGCCAAAGCCAGGAAGAAACTGAGAAATATGGGAAACCCTAAAACTTCAATTCTATCTGGAAATTTAATTGAGATCACCTATGAGCTCGGTGGGAGGTGTTAAAGAGATTTTCAGCCTTCATCTAGGTGATTCATCTCTAAAAAATTAATGAATATTTTGATGCACACAATTGAAGATTTCTCTTGAAAGGTAATATTCAAATTTCAAACAGCTTCTTAAAAATTGTAATCTTGAGCAAAAGCATTTAACCAGGTTTAAAAAACGAGTTACCCTGGTAGATAACCTTTCCGTGTTCACAGAGCATTTATAATCCTTTTTCCCTTGTCCCTCTCCTTTTCCTTTCCCTCTTCGCTTTTTAGAAAGAGAGTAATGGCGCTATAACCATAAGCCATAAGAGGCTAGGACAAGACATAGTGCTCATGTCCCAACCTTCAGAGAAAAACGGAGCATCACTTAACCTTTCTAATCGAAGATTTCAACAGGCCCGATGTTTTCTGAATCATCTTGCCCCTTAAACTCTGCATAGTTGACCTGGCCGTTTTGGTATGTGTGACGTATATTCGATACTATATATCAAATAAAAAAAATATGACGCTATATCCACCATTTTCCACGATGCTTTCAATAACTGGATGTGTTGGTGGTGGATTAGATTAGATTGGAAAGCATATTCAATTAGAGGCGCCGGTGCACAGTTGTGCCAAGGGTATCAAAACACGCGCTTTTTTATTTGCTCTGCAATGGTTGAAGTAAATCCGTTGGTCCCCGGTTCATGAGTTGATGGGTCGATAGGTAGGGTCCAGGTGTGGGAGCTGCCTCCCTGGCGTCGGTAACATTGGTCCTCAGCTCGGAAAAAAAGATCGACGGAAAACAAATCAAGGAAAAAAAAAAAGGGTGCCCAAGTAACAATTCAGCCACCATTTGGCATCCACTCTATATTATGATGGTTTTATAATGGCAATAAACAATCCATTTAGTTTAAATACAGCATTTTAAAGTGTACTAAACATTGCTGTTGAGTAATTCAGCTTTTTGCTGTTTCAAAAACCTTTTACAGTCTGGCGAGAAAGTCGACGAGTGCCTAGTTTTAAACATTAATTTAAAGCTTTTCTCAATCCCTCCATAAACTGTTCTGTAATTCAATCATAAACTTCATCAGCAATTGTTTATTAATGTCTTGATCACATACTCTATAAAAGTGTTCTATCATTATAAAAGCAACCATAAAATCATTAGTGTTTAAATGAGAGCAAAAGGCATATTTTGATGCTTTTAAGTCTTTTTAAAGTGTATTATAAAATCCACAATTACTCTGTTTATAAATTGAACTTAAAAGATATGGATCCTCTTAGTGAATAAAACCAGAATTTATGACAACGAAATATCGAAGGATAGACGAAGTAGGATGACAAATTCAAGCGATTCAAACGATCGAAGAAAAGTCGATTTCAGCCAAATTTACTGCTTTAAAAGAACCAGGACGTCGACTGAACCGGTACCAATAGGTGACGATCGGAATTACTTGGATCAGTACCGACAGCAAACTACCAAACTGCCAGTTAGCAGAGATTAACTGGTTTCCGATCCATGACAGCGATTTTATTCGGGAACCATCCGGAAGAAGGCGATGTTTTTCGGGAAGAAGCTGTTCGAAATGCTAAATATAGTACAAAAGTATCGCACACTTTCTGAGTAATTGCTTCCAATTCCATTGCCCGGAAGAACGCTGGATCGCACAGCGCAACTATAGAAAGATAAACAAACTTTGACATTTAAATTTTTGCCGGCAGATTTGCCTCCAAAAATGCTGACATAAATCTGAACGGGTTAGGTTCAAGCAAAATGGCTTTAGATCAATACAATTCAGTTGTCAAGTTCATAAAAACCTTTTGAATTTGTTAGGGACAAGAAAGCAAAACAACTTTTTCGCAAATGGTCCATGAAATCAACTTTTATGCCTCCACCATAGGGTTTTTGATCTAATTTCCGACCTACTAAGCACAACCCGCGCTTTATCTCTTTTTTTTACGGGTTTGAACAAAAAATTTAATATTTCTGTCAAAGATGCCTTTTAAATTTATTCACCTTTCGATACGTACCGTTGGATTCGACAAAGAGTCACAAATTGTTGAGATATTGTTTAAATCCTAACACTGATTCTAAATTCGTTCTACGCGTTTCATTCCCGTCCTAACGCATTGAAACGCCATTAGATTTTCTTCATCCTACGCATAAACGTAGAAACAGGGAATTCGCTAGGAGCGCTTCTTTTGTTTTGAGAACAATGAGCGTAAATCGAGCGTAATTCATACAATGCACTCTAATAGGATTTATGTTGTACCTTAGACTAAGCCACTTTATGAGAACTATTTAAATAATTTTGGTAATTCAACAGGATTTTTATACGATCAGTTTTCATTTTCGTTATTTTGATAAGATCTGATGGTAATTATGAATTCTTTTCGATATTGATTGATGCTTGTCTAGCTGATTTAGCAAGCAGCTAACTACATCAAGAAAGGGTTTTATTGTTACCAAACAGCTTTTATTGTAGCTTAAATACGGGTTTCAAATGGTTCTCAATGCGTTCGCCATATAATCTTCTGGCAGTAAATCAATCTTGAAGAGCTCCAAGAATACATCTTTAAGAACCTTCTCCAGGGTGGGCCAACTAGACAGATTCCAGTCTTAATGAGGCTTTGGTGGATGCATCAATGGCAAAACAGCTTTGACCAGGGTTTTATGAATGTTGTGTTAGTGTAGCTTTGTAGCATTTAATAAAACTTAACATGTTACTTGGGTAACCAGGTTTAAAATTACTGGGAAAATCTAGAATGAAGAGACCCAACTTCAAAGAAAGAGAAATCAGTGCTGAAAAATAATGTCATTACGAATATTGGAAAATTTGTTGAAGTTTGCATTATTTAATATTCGCTCAGTGTGGATTATCTTGAAAACATGTAATGTCCTTAAGTTTTAAAAAAAATGTCTTTTATCTCAGACATATGATATATTTTAAGTTACAAATTAAAAAGCCCAGCATTTATCCGAGTCCCAATGTCTTGATGAACTAAGATATTAAAATCTCTTCTGCATGAGAATTCACACATTTTGACGTAGGACTACGTCTTTGATTTCTATATGGGGGTACACTTTGTGAAAACCGAAAATGGAACATGTAACAAATTAAGAAAGATTTTGAACGTTAATAACTCAGCTGCCCTTGGTCCAATTTCGAAAATTTTATCACCAATCGATCAGAAATATGGCTACGCATCGATAACATTGCTTCCAAATGTTGATTTTCAACAAGAAACTGAATTGAAAAACTGGTAAATGTCCAGCATTGTCCAAAAGCGTCAAATTAACTAACAAATCCACCAAATACCTACATGCATATGCTGCTTCCCCAGCACAGTCGTCAGAGAGTAGTAAGTAGACGAAGTGGCATTCGCCTCCGATCCTCGGGCGCGTGCTAATAGGGAGGATGGAATTGCGTAATACTCAGAACCACACGCTCCCGACGACCACACCACTGTGTGGTGGTGTTTGGTCGTCGAAATCAGTAGCAGCAGTAGCAGTGCTTTCGACGTGTGGCGTTGAAAATTGTTCTCCAGTAACAACGAAAGGCTGCCGCGTGTAAGCAGCGAGCTGCAGAGCCCACATAAGCAACCATCAAAGGAGGAAGAAGCTGCACCGCTATGCTATGGATCGGAATCAGTAGCTCTTAGTGAGTCGCTGCGGGTCGGTCATCTATGCCATGCGCTCCAAACGACATACAACTCGACAGCCTCATCCGTGTTGAACACTCAGCTCAGAATTACTCAACCATCACTACAAAACGGTCGTTTTCAGGGCCACCAAAAATTTGTTAAAGAGTATTATTTGGACATTGGTCAAGGTCATCAGTTCCCACAAGCAGCTAGCTATCAAGGCTCAA